TTTAAGCAATTTGGGGTTGCCGAGATCGATGTGAAGTTATACAATGTGCTGTTGAGGTCCCACAAGGAGTTGGGGATTTTTGGAATGGTATGTTTTTATGGTGTTTTATTCGATTTACGTGGGTTATTGTTTCTTTCGTTGTTCTGTACTAATTGTACTGTTACAGTCCTTTGTGCTGAAGCAAGTGGATGCTGGGGAGGTTCACCCCGAAGTTCAGGTCCCACAAATCCCTACTGAGGGTGCTGTGGGTGAAGAGGTATGTGTGATTGAATTATTTATTTGGTCTTTAGTGAGTTGTGTTTTCTTGTTCTAATCTTGCCTTGCTTGTTTTGCCGCAGGGTGTTTGTGATGTCGATTTAGCTAAGGCCACAATGGCGCTTATAATTAGGTGTTTGATCAAAGACTTGAAGTCTCTGCAGCCTTCTGTCGAGCGACATGAATCACCTGAGAAGCACTTCGTTGACTTGGAGGGTGTGGAAGTTAGTGGAGATGGTGTTGCTCATGATTCTATACTTGGAGAGCCTAGGCAAGAGCAAGAGCCTTCCATGATTGTGCAGGACCAGTCCCCTAGGAGTCTGGTGGGTGAGACTGAGGAAGCACAAGAGCATCAACCTTCTGTGCTGGAGCAGCCCTCTGATGGTGTGGTGGCCGGGGTCGAGGAAGTGCAAGAGCATGGGCCATCTGTGTCCAAGCAGCCCCTTACTAGTCCAGTGAGTGAAAGTGGGCATGAATAGAAGCCCTTTGTTGTGGTACTAGAGCAGTCTTCTAGGGAAGAGCATGAGTGTAGGACTGCTGCCATATTGCTCGAGCAGCGTTACGGGGATATGGTGATTGAATTTACATTCAACTAGCAAATAGGCTGGATACAAAGTTGGGTTGCCTAAACACTGCTCTCTAACATGGGCCAGATTCGAGTCTTGTTGAGCCTTAGACTTCAGGCTATCTAATAGAGGATATTGTAGTTTGGATACTGTAATTTTAATGATAATAATAATAATAATAATTATTAAATATTATTTCATAATATAAAAATATATGATTATTCAATATTTATTATTATTATTTAAATTACAAAAAATGTTACTTTTTATTTGCATAAATCCTAAAATTTATTATTAATATTTACTAATAATTATATTATGATTATTATTTTTAATTATTGTTATTTAGTAAAAGATAATAATAATTTTAAAATAATATAAAATATTATCTCATAATGTTAAAAAATATTATTTAATAACAATAAATAGCAAATTTAAATATTTATTATTGATTAAATAAATATTGTGATTTATTTATTAAATAAATAATAATAATTAGTATTATATTTATATAGTAATAAGAATATTTCATAATATGTTTATTAATAATAATTAAAATATTTATTATTAATTAATTAATAAACAATAATTTATTTCAACAAATCATAGTATTTGCTTATTAATAGAATACTATTTTATATAATATTCTTTTTATGATTTATAATATTATGAAGCAATCTATTTCTAAGGGTAAAATAGTAAACTTCACAGTTTCAGATGTTGGAGAGTTGCTCCAACTTAAATGATATTACCTTTTTAAAGCCTTTAAAAAGCAAAAACTCATTTATACTTGTTTTCAGATTTCAAACCTAAATAAGATAGCATTTTTACTTTTTAGATATATTTTTCAGTACAAGTATTTATGTATGTATATATATACATATTTATATATTTATACATGTATCCATGTATATTGCATGTTAAAAATTTTAAATTCAAAGGCAATTTTTTTTTTCTAAAACATGATAACAATGTTCTTTTACACATAATAATGTTAATGTTGAATTAATGTGAACTCTTAAGTGTATAGGGAGTATATTTGTCAAAAGGATGTGGAGAACTCGGGCCAACTTGAGACTAATCCAAACCCAACCCGAGCCCGACCTAAAACCAAATCCAACCCATAAACTTTGGGTTAGGTTAGGTCTAGAGTTGGGGGTTCAACAAATCGGGTTGGGTAGGGTTGACCACAATCAAACCTAAGCTGGCATGACTTGTACCCCTAAGCCACAGTGTTTGAAGGACCCGGCTTGTACTCTATCTTGAAGTCATGGCCGAAAAGCTTAACAACCCATTTTGTTGATTTTGGCTGAGTTTTCTTTGACCCAGCAAGTGCTTAATGCTACAGTGGTTTGTACAGATAAAATGTGCTCCTTAGCATGTAGGTTTGCCATTTGTCGATGGCTAACACAATGGCCATTAGCTTTTTTTTTTCTAAGTTGACTTCAAGTAAGCATGCCTGGTCAAAGCTTTGCTAAAGAAAGGTAGAGGCTGACCTTGTTGCATAAGAACTACCCAACATCACGGCGAGATCAATAAGATTCTAGAAATATAGATAGGCTGAGGATGTGGTTTTTTAGGAGACTATCCCTCAAGAAATGATTAATAATATTGAGCTTTTAGTGAGTGAGGTTATGGACAAAGAGAGGAATGTTTGGATGGAGAGTAAAATCAGCAGCTTGGTCCCCATCAATTTATGGGAGAAAATTAAAACTAATTTTATTCCTTCGGACTCAAGGGAAGACAAATTAATCTAGAGATTAAATACAAATCATAAATTTTCTACCAGTTCGGCCTATAAAATTAAATGTAATTCAATGGAAATAGTAACCTGAATTGGAATTTCAGTTGTCCCCCAAAATTGAAAACCTTCATGTACCTTTTCCTTAAAAGGAAACTCCCTACAAAAGTTTTCCTTAGAAACAAAGGATTTAATATTGATGGGGCTTGCAGTTTTTATGGCGAAGATGAAGATCTTGACCATATTTTTAAAAACTGTGAGATTGCCTGTCAAATTTGGAGAATGGTGCCCTCTTCCTTTGTTAATCCTAATGATGATGATTCTTCTCTGTTTGAGTGGTGGCATAAAGTGAGGGCTACTGATTTAAGTGAGATTCTTAATCTCAAAGAGAAATGTATTTTTATTTTATGGAGTATATGGAAGAATCGAAACCAAAAAGCATATATAAAATGCTCAAATGGAATATGAAAATTCTCGAAAGGAAACCTTTGCCCCACTATCATTGAGAGCAAACATAAATGCTCTAACTACTTAGTGTGCTTTTTCCAATAATAACCACCAGTCAAGGTGCAAGAAATCTGGACCGTCCATTGTTACATCCATAGTGATAGCAAATGTGCATGTGAGCTGGGCCTAGTATTGTTTGAGGCCAATCGGTTGAGCTTGCCAAGATGGTTATAGTCCTGAGTCCACAATTCAGCTAGTGGCAGCTAATCCATACCGGTCTTTCATATATGAGAGGTTTCTTCTGGTGGAAATTGGCTTAAATTAGTGTGAAGGAATCCTTACAATTTTCATGCAGGAGAGAGAGATCTTCTTAATTCTATTGCAATCCTACACAAAAGCTTTGCTTAGACAGTTAGAAGTTCCATACCATCATCGATTTTCTCTGAATCTAGGCTCGTACAAAGATTTGTTTTCCGATCCATTATTCAATTCTGCATCGACTACATCTGTGGGTATTTTAAGCCCAACTGATTGAATTTGATTAAACAATGATAATTAGCATCTGGCTGATTAGGAGTTCCACAAACAACTTGTTTTCTGATCCATTATCCAATTCTGCATCGACTACATCATTGTTTAGGCTTTGCTACCATGCCATCTTCACAATTCCTCTTCTTAGCATCTACTTCATTCCCACCGCATTGTATCCATATATCTATTCATTTGTTAACAAATGAACTTTCGAAACATGGGTTGGATCTCCCTTAGGTTAAGATGATGTAGACTATATGGGAGACCCATATTTTGTTGAATATCAGTCCATATATTTGTTCATTTGATAACAAATATGAGAATGATAACTATATCACTCTATATCTGCTCATCTATTGGATCTCCTTCCCATTCCTATTCAATCCATTCCTATAAGTGATCCATAATAGATGCTAAAATCGGATCTGATAATGATAATGATAAGTGATCCAACATGTGGTTCCTGCTCAATATAAGTGACCTGCTAATGATAATATGATAAAAAGGAATACATGAAAACAAACCCATGACCATAATAGAAGACAACAAATACACACACACACATACACACCTAATGTTTAGTTTAGTTGCATTTGAACCATCCCTATCTCTCTCTTTCCCTCACACATCTCCCCCCCTCTCTCTCTTCATCTATCTATTTATCAATCTCTCTCTATCTCTCTCCCTCTCTCTCTCTCTCCCTCTCCCTCTCTCTTTCTCTCTCTCTTATATATATATATATATATATATATATATAATCCAATGATGCCTCCTATCAAATATGGCCTAATTATTGATGTGGATGGCTCTGCAACCAACTTCTCAGAGGTATATGTTGTATCCAACTATACTTCACAATACTTATAGTATACATCTTTAGTTTCTTCTTGACTTTTATATGAACAATAAGAATTCCCTCCGAACCTAGCAACTTGCTTTTGACACTCGGGCCACGAGTCCTACACACCTGGCTTTCTTCCCTTGAACACAACATAGGATTTTTTCATCCTACACAATTGGCTTTCTCCCCTTACAAAGCAATAAACATATTATGACATACTACAAACAAAGAGATATAACAAGAAAGTTGGATTATATCAAAAAGTCAAAAGTATCAGTGTATAAGTAAGTACTAAAAAGAGTATTAGAAGATATTATAGCTGCCACCAACTAGTTAATATGTTTTATCAACAAGTGCATCAACCTAAGTTATAACAAAAAAGGGTAGAAGTGTTAAAGTTCCATTGTCTAAACTTCATAATAAGAGAAGAGGTACTATTGCATTCCACCAAAACCAGTCATCTTAGATATGATGGATAGGACCATCTAAGCCCTAAATGGCTTGTCCCTCACAAGGAAAATCATTGCTTCCTTCTCATGTTCACCTAGGTACCCAAAGACAGTGTTCCAGACTTGGATATCATACCCTTCTAAGTCCATAACTTCCTTCCATAAACGGTTTAAAAATCCATGTCAGCGTCCACTATAAGTGCTGATGCAATTTTTGACATTATAATATTCATTCTATCAATTGCATCAATAAAGTCCTGGTTGGACTTCGGTTTTGATCCATGCACTCTTTTCTTTTGAGCTTGAGGAACTTGCCTTCGGTTGTTGTTGGAGACTGATTGAGTGCCATCTTCATAGATGAATTCATCAACAATCAGTGGGGTTGTTGCATCATCATTGAACTCAGGGTCATCCTCTTTAGTACCATCAACATCAGTATTACACTCAGTCATGGACTCAAACCCTACCATAGCATTATCACCCATAGGGTGATCATTTCCCAGAAATGTATGCATTTTCTCAAACATCTCCATCACCCTGTCTTTAATGTATAGTGCAAGTGGATTGGCCTGCATTGTAGATGGCATCATTACCAGTTGCTAATTTTTAAACATTAATTAAAAAACCAAATATGCCACATTTACCTTGATGTAATCATCCCAAACAACTGGATCAGTTATGATTTGATTCATGGATTCATTCCAGCTGAAGCCACTAGTCCCGAGTAGCTTCTTGGATTCCATGTATATGGGTTTTAATGTTCTCATTCTACTCTTAATATGGGTTGTTCTCATATCAATATTGAAGCAGGCAGCCATCTCCTTGCATACTGATGTGTATCTAGATGTTCGAAACCCCTTATCAATCTTATTGCCCAATGTTACTTGATTAGCAAGTAGCTCAATCAATGCCTTGTTCGTGGCATCATTCCATCTTACTTGTCAACTTTGATCACCCTTGTTGGACATAGTTTGAGAGACAAACAACACATCCTTTCCCTTATTGCCATCTTTCCTATTACTGATAGATGTTCCTGTTGTATCTCTACGAGAAGCCATCCCTGGCCGAAAGTATTCGATTTCATGCAATAAATAAATAACACATAGACATGTACATAATTATCATAAAGAAATATTGAAAATACCTCTAGTAATCAACAACATAAAAGTAAGCATGTGCAATACAGAAATATGGTGTTTAAACAATATTGTTGATATGTTAAACTACCTAACAAGTAAGTCATGGATATCTAATAAAACAAATAAATAGGTTGTTTTAAACATTATAAGAACTACAATCAACACAAATTGGTTCTAACAATGATGATGTGCAATTAATCCAAATACTACAACTCCTAATCATCTTCGCAGTCTGCTCCAGTCCCAAAACATGTCTAACCTAATTTGGTCCCTAAATGTGGACCACCTTGCTAGTTCATTTCTTTGTAGCCTTGGTGCAAGAGAATCTGCATTGGTGCTTTCTTCCACAAATTCAACCCCATCGGATGTATTTTGCCTATCTGCTTCATAGATCCCTTCTCAAGTGTACCTGTCACATGGATCAACTCCCATGATATGGTTGGGAAGCACACAACAAGCTATCACAATCTTGACCTATGTGTCAAAGTCAAAATGTTGTGTTGCATCAAGAATTGCCCAATGCTTCTCCAGAACACTGAAAGCACGTTCCATGCATTTCTCAACGATGAATGTCTATGGTTGAAAATCTCCCGAGGGGACTCTGGCAACCGCCTTCGTATCTCATTGAGGTGGTATCTGATACCTCGATAAGGTGCTAGGAAGCCTGGCATGTTTTTGTATCTGGAATCTACTAAGTAGTATTTTCCTATATTTCGTTGAGTGATCATTGGCAACAAGCGATTAGTTAAGACAATGGAGTCCATTGTTCGAGTATTGGAAAGGATTGAGTATCAATTTAAGTTTCCCTCTGGGACGTCGAGTTTGCATTCCCTTCGTAGGGAATCATATAGGACTGTGGCATCAGTGGTCGAACCCTCCCACCTAGCTAATACATAAGTGAATTTTATATCGAATGTCACTGTAACCATTACATTTTGTGTTGTTTTCCCCTTCCTACTACAAAACTTTCCTTGCTTCGCAACAAGCACTTTGCATGGGATATGGGTCCCATCAATTGCACCTATACAGTCCTACATTTAACTAAATTATGTCAATTTCATGATCTGGGAGGTGTTAAGGTAAAAAGTATAGTAATCTATTACATACCTTAAAATATGGCATAAATCGGGAGTCATTCCTAATCTCCGGCGGTACTTGTTCTCCAGTAGGTTGTATAACCAACATAAGGTATAATCTACGTACAACACACAAGACTTTATGGAAATGCTAGCTTACGGTCACTTGTGGATGCCTGAAGGTAACATGTATGATACTATTCTTTTCATTGTGCCCAATGGTGTGCAAAAACATTGCAACTTGCTTTTTGACAGACATGTTAATGGATGGCCAAAGTCCACTATGGGTAACAAGTAAATGATAGAGGGAATCAAAACATGGCTTTCTCATCCTAATCTGAGAAACACTCCCTTCCCTAGGCTTCTGACCTCCCACACCCTTCGACTTGCAGATTCAGTATAATGTTTAACGATGACAACCACCGCAAGATATGTCATAATTGAACTAATGGCCGCATTGATCCGCTTATGCTTGGCCATAGTGTCATGTGTTATCTCCATGCTTGACTGACAAGTCAAAAGAGCCCATGAGAATTATCCAATATATTTATGAAAGGAATGGGTCATTATAAAAGGAAAAAACAATGTTTAGAGTGCTATACAATGAAAGCACTATTTAGAGCTATAAACTTTGCACATTCAAGCTGTAAATCTTGCATCATGAGATATCCCCCTTGCTGGATTCATGAGGCCCTACCAAATTTGTGATCTTTATTAAGAATTGTCAGATTAAGTTCAAAACAATTATGAACTGCAGTTTTAGGTTGAAACTTATTAGCCATTCCAAGAGTAGCCAATTGAGTTGGCTAAAGCCGATCAGATATAAACCTTAGAATTGGTGTGGGCTTGTGTAGATTGACTTTATATAGGTTAGGGTTGGTCTCACCCTAGTTCTATCTAATCTTTACTGTGAGGGGAAAATTGAGTCATGCAACACTTATCCACTACATTTAGTAAGTCAATGCTTATAGAAGTCTAACCATATATGATCAACCTTTATCCTCTAGAAGTAGAGTTATTTTTCAATTTGTTGTTGATTTTTCACTTGTAGATTGTATGATGTATGCAATATGGATAGACCCATATCAGTAGGATCTCAACCTATACCCTAAGAATAACCTTGTTAAAAAAGACACAGTCACAGACAACAGAGTAGGTCCCCTAAGAATAACCCTATTAAAAAATTGGGTCTACCACAACTAGCTTTAGTGGTAAGGAATTTTTACAAAGATAAAACCAGAGGCAAATGGGGAGTTCAGTTTAGTCTGTGTCTTGCTTCTAGCTTGGCCTGAGAAGCAGGACAACTACAGATTGTGTCTTGGGCCTAGTTTGGTTCATTACCAAGCTATCAAATTCAAGTATCAGTTTCTCTGTCAAAGAGGTATTAAAAAATGCATCTTATTTGGTAGGGGCTAGCTTGTCTATCTTTATAAAAATACATCAGTTTCTCTGTCAAGGAGGTAAAGGAAGGAGAATTGGTTGGTAATGTTTTCAGTAGTGTTGCTCCAAACTATGATCTGATGAATGATTTAATTAGTGCTGGACTCCATAGATTGTGGAAAGATAGGTAAGATCCTTTATGAAGACCTAGACAGAGAGAAAAGTTACATTGCATCTTCGAATGCAAGACAACAATAAATCCACCACCAACGAAAATTCAACTAACTTGCTTCAAAAAACAAAAATTCAACTAACTATAAAAGCAAAACAAAAAGAAAGAAAAATCATGGTCATAAACATATTGAACAATCCTACTAAAAGAAACCCAACTAGAGTCTCTCTCTGGTCTTCATTTCTTCACAGAGCGTCTTCTTACCTCTTCAGATTTGGTTTCTTTTTGTGCTATATATATGCAATTTATAATTCATAGCTTTGTTAATGAAGATATCACATATTCAAAGGAAAATATCATACATATACCTTCGAAGGAAAATATCACATATTGAAGAAGATATCTTTATCAAACAAGAATGATAACATAAAAAATGATTAATTAGGAAGTAGAGTAACAAAGAGGAAGAATTTCACCATGCACGGACTTTATTGTTGAAGACAGAGCGGAAGATGTGGAAACTTGGCTCGGTCTGAGAAAGAGTCAACCAAAAATGATGAAAACTTTTATTAGTTGAAGAAAAATATTGGATCTGTGAAGTTCAAGACAGATCTAACATTACCTTGTGTAGATGAAAGTGAAGATCTTCAACCTCCTATGAGATTGGCAGGAACTCTAGAACCAAGCGACATGAAAACATGAAAATAGAAAAACACAAGTCAGAAACACAAGATACTGATCACCAACCACCGATAACCATGCCTTGGTCGGAGATGGAGGTGAGAAAGTACCGTTAGAAGGCAGTGGGGGGGGGGGGTGTAGCAGATCTCCTCTCACCCGAAATGGCTATTTTTCTCACACAGTCGAAAGCAAAATGCATACCCTAATTACATCGTTGGGCGAAGATTGCATCAGAAAAATCAATGCAATAATGCACTCTTCGATTGATACATTCATGTCGGAAAATACAGTTTTGCACTCATTTTCGATACATATATGTATCGCAAACAAACTCTTGAAAATACGAACCAGAGTACATAAATACCCCGGTTCGACATTTGTATCGCAAACAAATGCAACCTAATAAACTGGCTATAGTATCTAGTTACACCTAAGAAACTTCTCAAGGCCTTTTGGGTCATGGGTTGAGCCCAATTCACCATGTGTATTATCTTCTCAAGATCAATATTAATTTTACTCCCTAGGATAGTATTATCAAGATATTGCACATTGGTCAGTCTTTAAAAATACAAGGCGCAAAAATATCGCAAGGGGCATCTTGTGCCCAAAATGCAAAAAATTCAAAGAAAGTCAAACAATTAGAAAATGATAAAAATTAAAAAATGTAAATAAAGCATAATATTAATTAAAAATATAAACTTAAATTTTAAAATATTATTATTTCAAATTAAAATACATAACCGTAACATGAAAAACATATTTAAAATGAAAATTTAAGTAAAATAAAGGATAATAAATAAAACATATTCAAGCATGTAAGACTCTCAAATATCTTTATTTTTTTCCAATTGCATTACCTTAAATAGCTAAAGTGATATTAAACATTATGCATTCCTGATTCTACCAATCATCTTTGTACTAAGTCCCTTGAATCGAGCTTAATTCAAGCTAAAGATATGAGCTCAAATTCAACTTTACTCAAAAGCTTATATGTTCAAGCTTAGATTGGCTCAAGCTCAATATTGAGCCAAATTTCATATAAAAATATAAAATAGTAGATGTAGAAAATAAAAAACTTACATACAAAAAATTATTTGTTATTATATATAATTAAGAATAATATATAGATAGATAGATTGATTGATTGATTTATTGATAGATAGATAGATAGATATAGATAGATAGATAGATGGATAGATAGATAGATAGATAGATAGCATGCCCCACATGCACCCCAAAGAAAATCCCAACTATGCATTGAGAACATCTCCCCATGACAAGTAGTACGGGTGATGTTCCTAATGCACATTGAGATGTGAATGTGGGTGCACTTTGTTAGGAGACAATATGAATTCAAATTTAAGATACATGTATATATAGGAGATATTACCAATGTGTGGTTGGATTCCATGTCCTCATTTTTTGTTTTAAGGAGATCCGACTTGACCATCAAAACTAGGAGCCTGCTTCATATAAATGCAGGTTTGGTCAAGCTTACTCTTGCATATTTTAAGATGTACTATACTGTCTAAATTATGAATTTATTTTGACGTAAAATTAACTTTAAAAATGAGCTCAAAACTATCTTCAACGTTTTAGATTTTTGATAT